TCTTTCAAAGATAGCATACGAAACGACTTTTCGACTAAGTTTATGCTTATCTTCCACATGTCCGAAATGCGGTTACAGGTAAAGGAGTGAAAGTTACGTTTTCAAGTCATAGGTATTCTGCCATTCGTAATCAGTTCTTTTTTAAAAGTTATTTAACTTTCGACCTTTCCGTCTCACTCAGACTTACCTATAAATACGAGCTCTGCAGAAAAACTTATTTTTTGCATATTAGCATTTGTATTGCAAATAACTTTTATCCATTTGAATATTTTGTATATAAATAAGCCGAACTGGAAGGGGTTCCATCACCTGAAGATAGCCGGTGGTATATCGATATTTAATAACGTTGTTTGTAGTGTGAGGCTAAGAGCTAAAACACCTATGACAGTTTTCTCGATGAACTGTAAAACGCAACAGAATTCTTGGAAAGTTTCTTAAGGGAGAACACTTCTAAAATATATTTGTCACTCTATTAAATCCCTTTTAATTTAATACTCCATGGAATAAAATCTATTGATATTGTATATTTGATTTTATTGAAGACTGAATGCAACGTCAGGCTTGAATATGAAGGTTATTATTTGTAGCGCAGCCATGAAGGCCTCTCACCAGATGCGAGTTTCATTTTGATTTGACGCAGTACAGTACATGTAAGGACCCCAACCCCATCATAAACAACGGGTTGATATTCGATCCTACTGCATGAACGTCACATCCTACCATGAGGTGACATCTGTGTGAATTATCTGCTGTCAAGCGCTTGACCTAATCATGCTCACGCAGAAGACAAACACAACTAGCTGCGTTTACTGAATAACGGTTTGCAGGTGCATTGTTTTTCCTTCGTAAACCTGAAGGATGTTTCGTGCAATTCATGTCACTGACCACCGTTAGCGAGGATGGCGATTAAACAGAAGTTGGCTTATTTCCAACCACTGATTACAGGCGAGACATCCATGTGATATGCATAGACTACAGGACGGGAAAAGTACATAGGTCCAAGTAGGTGATTCTTCACCTTTCACAGTTTAGCAAAGCTTGTCCTACTGAACATGGAACAGGGTGATAAATTGTCACTCGCAGCGTTACCATTGTTTTCTCTCTAGGCTATACCCTCCAGTCCTGATGTATGAGTATTGAAAAAAGCCTACGAAAAAGTCTAAGGATATTTTTATCACGCTTGTGTAAAATCGCCCTGTCTTTCATAGTTTATTCATTTCTGTTGCTGCATCTCTTTTACGTTTATAAGTTCACGATTACGCGTGCTAATTCTGTGATCCGATCAACGAGACGTCAATAGCTGTACATTGGATTGTAATAATTTTTTGCTGCCTTCTTTTGAAGGCTTATGAGTCGTCAGCAAGAATCACGGCAACGACCAGAACCTGCTCAGACAAACGGCGAAAAAAGTGAAGAGAAATTTGCTCAGGTTGTTGAGGACGATCTACGCACAGAGAGGAAGCAGATCGAGAGGCCCTCTGGTGAGTCTATGAACTTTTAACAATTTTTCTCCGTCACTAAAAATGATGTTCATAGGAGAGTCCGCTACTGAGAAAGCGAAGCCGGAATTGGTAGTCGAAAATGACTCAAACTCAAAAATGCCATCTCCGGACAGACTTTACTTGAAGGAAACGAACACTGAGAGAAAGCAGTACGTTGCATGAATTTGTGATACACTTATTCTTATTTTTGTGTAAAGTAATGGGCATCCATCAGTCGATCACTCTCCATTGTTCACTGTTGTTTGGTGCGGCGTAGCTTAGACACTCTGCACAAGGCTTTTCTTCGGACATCCGTTTTTCCTAAGTTGTAGTTTTCATTCGAAGTCAGGATATAGCCAAGTTTAACCGGGTGTTTTTACTCCACTGATCAGTGCAGTTCCTTTGTCTTGATTGTTGTTTTATCTGATAATTAGTTATCTGATAACAGTTATTTCTCACAGTAACAATCTCGTCGATTCGTTCAATCTCTCCAGTTATTAGATGGATAGCGACGCTTCTGTTTTGACCCGATTGAAATGAAATTTCTGTGTCTTCCGTTTTCATTCTTTCTTCACTGTTTCTTTCATGTGACGAGGGCAGAGCGCACATTTTCGGTTTCTAATTCTTTAAACGATTCCAGGACCCATAGAAATAAATGTATCAACAAATTATTGCATTTCACTATGTTATATGTTGAATATATTGGAATCAGCTAGGTTATTTTTTTCTCTTTTGCATCTTGCTATGTGGCTTTAGTGAAAACAGTGTCGTTTGTCATATTCTCCGTGTGCAAGCAGCCCGCCGTTGTTAATTTGGAAAACATTCGCCTGATTGATGAGCTTACGTCTGATTGTTGTGTTCCGAATCTAATGAAGCTTTATTCTAGGTTTCGCATCCTTCTAATGCATAGGACAAGGAGAAATAGATCGCTATCTTATATCATGTTTAATAATCTGTATTTTGTATATTTGGAGTGCTACTCAAAGAGTACGATTGTAGTACTCAGCGTTTCTTTTGAGAACAGCACAGAATAGGGTCTTGCTTAAAGTCTGATGTGCCTAAGCTGCGCTACTTTTACTCAGAATTGCCTAGGTATTTAATTAGTTTAGATAGCGCGATCATCAAATCCTTTCATTTGAAACAGATACGAGGCCAAATGCTCTCTCGCCATTAACTTGGCTCTGTTTTGAGTTTCCTTTGGTTCTCACCAAATAAGACCTTACATGTGATAGAATTTGTTGCTTACTGGCTTCGGTTACCTGCAGTTGTCCTGTTTATGCAGACAGCGAGATAATGTTTTCTACACTGATCTGCAACTGTTTTCTTGCGGTGTTAAAGTGCCGCTGAGTAGATATCGTTTGAGTGATGAGTAAGTCAGTCAAGCGATAGCTGTCAATAATGGTATCTATTATTGATACTGTATGTTACTTATGAGGCAGCATTACTGTATGATCATAATGTACAATGAAACCTAACTCGCCTAAGACATATAGTCAGTAGAAGATCCAGAGTGAAATATTACTATTATTCCATGTAACAGCTAGTTTTAGATATATTACTCTTACATTGCATTTGTGTCAGAATTTTATAGACGTGACACGGCGTAAATTTTTAATTCGACGACACACGGACCTCTATGCAGATCTCATGTATCTCTGACGATGATCGAGTTTGATTCGAAACGTCTGTACAAATAGTTATATAAGTCTGCAACAGTTAGAGTCAAAGTCATGTCTTAAGGTGACGCATGTTTGTTCTTCTTTGTATTTCATGTCTGTATGTGTGTTTCCAGTTTTTTTTAATAAATAACTCACAATTGTCAAGGTTATACGGTATATTGATCTATCACAGTGTTATCTACCGGTGTTCTGGCGTGTTAGAGTTTTTATGACATAGGAATAGCAAATTTGGCGAAAGATGGTTTA